AAGCCTTGAACTTGAAGCCACTTAGGATGGGCTGTTACTTGTAGCCTAAAGCATCATATGTAATACAAAAGTTTTAGAATCCTGTATCAATGGTTGAATGTTTTACTGCATACATTGTTGCCTTTTTAGAGTAATCAGAGAATTGTTAATATCTGTAGAGCAAGATAAGTATTCAAAGCCCTGTTTTGAAGAGCCCCTCACAAGGTCCCAAGCAAGTACAATGCGCTAGACCAATGCTGTACAATGCTGGTCATACGTTTTATACCCCTTGCAGAAAGCTCTTACCTGTGACAGTGATGCTTCTGATTTCCAAACTCAAGTTTGAGAAGGCATTCCTCACCAGCACGGTGCCCAGAAAGGTGCCTGTAATGCAAAGGGTGGTGAATTATGGGCGTTGTAATAAACTGTTTCACTCGCGCTGAGACAACTCTCCCAGCCTGTGCTTCTCCAATTGACTGATGGCAGCATCCGAGGCTTTCATCCTTTGAGCATTTAGTGAACCCCTGTTGTGTGCCAGCCATGATGCAAGGCTGTGGAGACACATATGAATGAAACATGGTCCTTGTCCTCAGGACCTTATGGCTTCGTAGACATGCGACACACTGAGTGCCAAACTGCAGTAGGAATTGGCATTGGGGCATTGTGGGCACAGGGTAAGTGGTCCCTTTAATCTCAGGGGAGGAAGTAATGGTTCATGGGACGGGGCAAGGGCTAGAGCAAAAGTTCAGAGGAGTAGTGCTGATTAGTCAGATTAGAGAGGAAATTCCAGCAGAGGGAAAGACATGACAGGCATTTAGTGGGTGGAGACGGGAGAGAAGTGTTTGTAAGAAGATTTACTTGGAGAACTGCTAATACATGTATGTCCCACCTCTCCTCCCTCATGGGGAAGAGTGGTTCCTGCCACCTTCTCTTCTGAAGCCTAGAGAGGTCATCAGAGGGGACCCTTGGAAAGCTGGATATGTATTCTTGAGGTTGGGAACTCCTGTGAACAAGTTCCTTACTCATACTCTTGCAGCAATGGTCTATGACAGGGTAGAGGGAGAGACGGAGGGAGTTAAGGGCTGCATTTTTGCATTTGGGAAATAACTGTAG